ATATTTTAACTATGCCCTCCATTTTGAATTTAGAGTTATTTTTCTCCTAGACTGGCAGTTACTCATGGTTCGAGAGCCAGTCTTGCTTTAATGAATGCATTATTTATAATAGAATCTTATGTCTAACAATTTAGTCACTAATCATAAATTCTATGATTCAGAACTCACATATGGAGAGAAAAGGGAGATCACCGCCCTCTGTGGGATCAGGTTGAGGTCATAGTCAAAAAACACCATTGGAAAATTTGTAAACTTAAGGAATCAGCACATATGCTAAGCCACAAAAATCTCCTGAGCCGACCAAGCATAAAAATTAATACAATATGGGAACCAGTAATAAGGAGTGCCAGAGAAAAGTGATAACAACAACAGAAATTGCAATATGAGCTCTGGTAAAAATATGTAATGATAACAGCAAAAATTGCAATATGAGCACTGGTAAAAACTGGTGCTGAAGACAATAGGTTTATAATACCCTGAAATTCATACACAGATGTCCCCAAGGTACAGTGGATAAAGGCGTTGGTTAGATCCAGTGACAGGACCTAAAGAGTGTGAGTTCAATACCCGGTTAAGGCAGTGGAGAACTTGCAGAGTTGAATTAACAGGAGAACTGATAACTGACATCCATTAGACATGGCACGTGGAACTAAAACAATCTACCTCAGTGAATGGAATAAAGGATTCAGTTCAACATTCCAACCACCTGAAGAAGGCCGGAATGTACAACGGATGAAACATTGTAACAAATATGGTGATAAAGATGAGGACAATAGTCCAAATAATGTAAATAGTGTACGTATTTATTTATTTTTTTACTGCCCATGAACCCATGGTTATTTCAAGCTAGACATGCATATTATACTCTGCGAAGATGGGGTAAATGCCAAATACATAGTTTATCATGTAATGCCTTCTACACTTGACTGTCATCCCGCGTTTCAATAGCAGTTGATTTAAATGGTTTATTCCTGGTTTCATCAGAATTTTCCTTCTTGGAGATGAACTGGCATAGAACACAGCTGATGAGCAAAACAAAAACTTGCAAGTGATCTTCTGTTCTGGACGCCTAGCCATGGAGCAAGACAGGTTAGGCACCCTGCAGCCATCTACACTGACCAGCTTTATGACACAGAATGCCACCCTAGTGACCTTCAGACCTTTATGCAGGAATATGATGGTTGGTGTGATAGACTCATGAACGTCTAAGCTTGCTCGACCAAATAATATAAATACCATCACAAACACCTTAGGTTACTTGAACCAGAAAACCAGTTTTCTACTATGTAACACAATGACTTCAGCCAAATCAAGTGCAACTGATGTGACTTAACATCTCCTGGAGACAACATGAAACTAAATCACATCTCTATGGATCCATCCATGATATTTCTACAATCTTATGTGAATGATGAATGGGCTTTGCAGGACACTACTGGTTAGCAAAACAAAAAATTGATCCTTTCTGGACACCTGGCTATGTAGCAAGGTGAGTTGGTCACCCAGCAACCACCTACACTGACCAGCTATGTTATGCTGCAGAATACCTTCCCAATGACCTTCCAGCCCAGAGATTGAACTTTTTCACCAGATTGTGAACCAACACTTTAACCCACTAGACTGAGCAGAACAATAAAAGATATCCGTAGTTATAGACAAGTTAAAGCCTCGGCCACCTTGAATAAAATGGATGTAATCTGGAAATCTGATCTTCCAGACAACCTCTAGTGGGGATTCTTTTAAGCCACTGTACAGGTGGTATTAATGTATAGTACTACTGCCTGGACATTAACTTAAACTCTACAGTCTAAGCTTGATGAAATCTACATTCGGATGCTGGAACCTGTACTTAACATCTTCTGGAAACAAGATCCAACTAAATCACATCTCTATGGACCCATCCATGATATTTCTACAATCTTATGCGAATGATGAATGTGCTTTGCAGGACATTGCTGGTGAGCAAAACAAAAACTTGAGTGATCTACTGCCTCAACGAAATAAAAATGCCAGAAAATATTTTTACATTGTAAGAATTTTTTTTTGAGATAATAATGGTTCACTGGTATAAGTCCTACTAATTAACCCATAGCTGGGGAGAGAAAAGGTGCATTCATACCTTTTCTCAAGTGAATATAACAAACTCAAATGCAATTGGAACTCAGCTCTCCGATTTCCAATCCTAAGATATTATCCATTACACCAGCCACACATCCAAACTTACAGCACCTGGTATTCCCAAGTGGTCACCCATCTAGGTACTGATCAGGTTGCTGTTGCTTAACTTCGGTGATTTTACAAGAAACATTGTTTCAACATAATATGGCCATAAGCCATTACTACTCTGAATTTCAAAACCATGAAGGCTGTTGTGAACAAGCACTTCACTCTTTCCTCAAGAAGTCCTAGCAATTAACTGATAATAAAGAAAAGGAATCTGTGGAGAGCCATGATTGTCTATATCCTGTAATTTTCCAACATTTAGTGTTGACATCATCAATCCGATGATTGCTTGTAGGGTTGCTGCAGAAGCCGAGCACCTAACAAGTTCCCCTCCATATATCTGGGTTGAAAATCAGAGGTATTTATTCATGAATAGCAATTCTTGGTCAAGATGACCTGGCGGATCCCATCCCTCTCCAGGTCAAACCACAGCTGAACGGTAGGTTAACAATGTGTCTTGGCTGCCCAACTGACTGCCCTCGGAAGTCCCACAGTATTTATGAGGAGGAGGAAGAGTTCATTCTCCTGTATGAGGGTTTGCCACAACAAAAACAATTATAGATTTTCATAGTAGCAAAGATTTTGAGTTGGCCCATTTCCATTTTAAGTATTTCATTTAACCAATCAAAAACTATCCACTCACTAAAATCAAAGATCGTATTTGATTAAACTGTTTGCAATAGATGACCAAAAAGCAGAAAAGAAATCAGTTGTAATTTTATGGAAATGTCATTCTGTCAAATGCCAACACATATACACAAAATACCAACAGTTTACAAAAACATAAAACAAAAGCTGGAAATTTTTTTTTTATTTAACTAAAATTAATTCAATTTCTAAATCTTTCTTTTATTCAAATAATTTTTTGATAACTCTTCTCTCCCTAAAAAAAAAAAAACGAAAAGATTTTCTTTTATTTTATTTATTTCAACTTTTTCTCTGCTTGTAAAATTTCATTTTCTCTGCTATCTTTATTAATTCTAAGGCTGTTTTTTTTTTTAAAAAAAAAAAAAAACACTGTTGGAAAATGTTATCCTTTTGAGCCAAAAATTATAGAGAAATAAATTTATTTTTCTTATTCTATATCAGTTTTCCATTTCCAAATATAGAAAAAAAATTAAAATACCTATAACAATGAACTTTCATTGGTCTATATCTATCTATATATAAAATTCTGTGAGTTCTGTTCATCCGTCTGTCCATCACACCCTCAAAAATAGCCATTCATTGATCAATCAAAACCAAATTTTGGGAAGAAGTGCAAACAGGTAAGGGAATACAAAATACAGTTGGTTTAACATACAAAGTACTGCCAATATTTTAAAAATAATTTAATGATTAAAATAACAAATAATTATGCAAAAAACAATGTTGCATTATTATTAAATATCTTAACTTTTTATATACAAGAATCCATTTTGCAAGAACTATAAACAAATCAGAAGGCCAAACACTTCAAAAAGTTGGAATTTGACTCCAAAAAGAAATATTTACACATGGCCAGTTTTATGTTGCATGCTCAAGAGTTAGAAATCCTAAGAATTTATTCTTTGCTGTTAAAAAGGAAAAAAATAAATTTTCTTAAAAAATATTGTTTGCCATAAAATTAAAGAAATTATTAAACCACAAAGTAGGGTTTTTGTCAAAGTATTTTTCCAAAAAAATTAGCTTATTCAAATTTCGTCAAATGATTTACGAAATTCAACAAAATGTAGAGTTTGTAAATCTTGACAAAAAATGTTAGTAATAATTTCAGCAACATTGTGAGGATTTCAGCATATGTCAGTACGTTGCGGAAAAAATTCTACTTAAAACTTTTGCCCAAATACACCCAATTCAAAATATAATAGCAAGAGATACAACTTAAGCTAACACCATAAACTTCCCATGAAACTCATTGATAGACTAATTGAAATATATGTATAAGATTATATTTTGCGTTTAAAGTGCACTCACTCGCTGTTTTGAATCTGAAATATAAACATATAAAATATAAACTTGCAAATATCCTTGGGAAAGGTATCAATTCATCTTTTCTCCCCTATCTGTGGGTTAAATAGTAGGACTTGCATCTGGTGAAAAAAAACCACACACACACACAGTTATCTCCAAAAATTATTAATGCAATTTTTACTTATAAAATAATGAATTATTCTTACAATCCAGAATACATACGGCTTTAAATAATGCACAAAGTTTGATAACCCATAAAAGATATCACTCAATCACAAAATTTGACCAAGTTTCCAAGCATTAGATTTATTTTGGTAAGGTCCTGCTTGTGCTGACGAAGGTACACTGTCTTTTTTCTTTCATGCTTTAATAAAGATAATATTGCAGGATATGCCTTTCTTTAATTACCATTCTTGGATTTCTTTATTTACTGTCATGCAATCCTCATGAATTAAAAAAAAAATTAATGAAAATTAAAATTTAAAAAGAACTTATTAAAAAGGAAAATGTACAGAACTTCATTTTGAAATTTTCTTTTCATAGAAGTTTTTAGTTTTTTTTTTTTTTAAGCATGTCTACACCATTTTCTTTTTTAAAAAATGAAATGCCTTAGAATTAATAAGGTAGCTATGTATTGTTTTTAAGAAATTGTCCTATTTATACAATTATTCACTAAAAAATAAAAAAAATAATAATTAAAAACAATTCATTCTTCTGTTTTTCTCGTCATTTAACAAATTCTTCGGAATGCTTTTCTTCCCCTGCCCCTTTGCACTTTTGCTGTCCCCTTCTGTTTTTCATTCACACTGTGATCTTTGTGACAGGACACCAAGGTTTGAGACGTGGCACTCTCACTGCCGATAGCAAACAGAATATTCCTGATGCGATTAG